GTCGCTTTACCAAATACATTTTTTATCGCCAGCAAGAAGGGGAACGTATGAGGCTGAAATTGGATGGCATGGAGTTCCTTGAGTGTACATTTCAGATGGAAAAAAAAAGTTCGCTAAAACCCATCAGGGCACATTTTTTAAGTCCCATTTTCCTGATTTTTTCAGTTAGCCACTGAAATAGAGACAGAATATGTAAACTTCTCTCAGAAGTAACAGTTTAATGGCTGAGTACAAGAAAAATCCTATTTTTGATATATGTCCCCTTAGCATAGATTATGGGAGGGAAGTAACTCGAAATGTATTCTTCACCCTTCCAAATAGGAACACATGAAAAGATTTCAAGTTAATCACACTTGAAATCATAGAAGTAACGGTTTTGATAAAAATCAAGACTTTCGACCCCATATGTCATGTATTTCAATGGGGGCGTACTTTACGTGCTTTCCAATTCACAAAAAATGAATGCATTAATCACTATCCAAGGTAAAAAAATATATATAACTAGCGAGTTTGTTTGCCCTTCGGGCAAACAAACTCGCTAGTTATATATATTTTTGACTGAGTCTCTGCACGCGGGCACCATTTAAAGTTTATAATCCTGGATTGATATCCACTCCTTTGTGCTGATTACCTCTTGATACTTTGAGCAATTTCGGCTCTGATTTCAAATGAAGAGGTGTTCAAATAATATAATTGTAATTGCTATTGAAGAACGTAAACTTTTTTTCTATTGAAACTGGAATGTAAGCGATGAATTTTGATTAATCTGTTCCCATGCGAACAGCAGGCAAAGTCTGAGATATCATTCGATGTCAGTGTCGTGCAGCAAAAGCAATAATGCGGACAGGAAATATTGGTTAAGACGAAATGATGTTACGGGGTGATTCTGAGGATGGAAGAGGAAGTATTCAGATGGTCGTGGGACCACCACCCACCTTGTTTGGTGCTACTTAAAATGAGCTTGCTAATTTCAGATTATTTTAATTAAAAATGTATTATTGAATGGGAAATTTCCCTAAGGGATTAGACTAAAAGTTTGCTAAATTTGATGCTTCTGTAGGGATGTTGACGAAGCCTGGAGCATCAGTATTCCAAGAAGCGTTGACGGGAGTTTAACGCTGACGCATACACACACAGTCACGCGCACACCCATTCGAGTAATGACAAGTTTCACACCAACTAACGGCCCAAAACAAGAAAACGATTTCGGCCGAAACTTGGTGTGAAACCCAAACGCCTTGTTTATTAACCTTCCCGTTTGAACACTAGACCACGAAGAATTAAGTTTTCTCCCGATTGTTGAATGGTTTGACAGGGGTCTGACTCAACCTCCGACCTCAGGAGATCGTTCTTCAGCTCTACCGGTCTTCTAGAACGATGGCCATCAGAGAGGTCAACATCGCCTGACCAGAATTTATTGAACCAACCCTGGCATTTGCGGATATCCAATACATCTCTATAAACTCCAAAAATATGTTTATTGGCCTCCGTTGCCTTACTTCCCTTACGAAACTCATAGAGCATAAAATGTCGTATTTGGATCGCTTCGGGAATGTGGTCAGACATTTTTGGCTGAAGAAGACGAACAAACTTTTGTTATCGAAAAATGTATGACAAATAACGGTTCTTTAGATTAATGAATGAAATTCATTTCAAAACAACCAAATGCACATCATAAATAACGTTTACATTTGGTATACAAAAAAACTTTCGCACTATATAAAGTTACTATATAGGTCCATATTTTTTTTACAGCTTTCATCAGTCGCCTACGGATTTTAGGGGATGTTGGTGTTCTTGGCTAAGTCTTGTCCATTTTCTTGTTAACCAAGGGAACATTCGCAGAGTACAGTGGGACCTCGCATAACGAACGCAATTCGTTCCAGCGGTGCGTTCGTTATGCGAGGTGTTCGCGAGTGAAAGTGAAACATTTTTTCCTAATTTCCTACTAAAAAGCGCCGCTGCACCTTGCGATTACATGATTTCCCATAGAAGTCTATGGGAAATCGTGTTTCGCATAACGAACACCCCACATAACGAACGCACCGCTGGAACGAATTGCGTTCGTTATGCGAGGTACCACTGTATTAGATTTACATGTAACAACTTATTCGTCTATGATAGGAGGAAAATGGAAAATGCTTTGAAGGGGATGGGATCCAAAAGAGAAGCTCGAAAACGTATGGAGTTCTGGGTGGCCAAGATCGTCTTTGTCCTCATCGTCCTCTTCTTAGTCTCCTGTACTCCGTACAAGATTTTCAACTGCATCGCGATCTTCGGCGACATCGAGCTGATCACCCCCTGGGTCTCGGCCGCACTGGAGGTCTTCGCAAAGGCATCCGTCGTCTACAATCCCATCGTGTTCGGGATCTCCCACCCGGCGTTCCGCTACAACCTCAAGCGGAGGCTCGTCAAGATTCTAAGCGCAAACATGAACGAGGACGAGAAGGAGGCGTTCCAGCAATCGTCCTCATCTGACGCGTCCCGCCTCCAGCGCGGCAACGGCAGGCGACTATCGAGGGACTCCTCGTCTGCCAACACAGTAGGCAATGCGATATTTGCATTAGCGCAGATTTTTTTGCATTATTTATTTTGAAATAAAAAAATACAAAAAATAGACAGAAAAACTTCGGATAATATTGTATAGATGGAGTGGATCACGTGGTCCCAGAAGGATGATATTCCTTGAGACTCATTAATATTACTACCTCTTAGCAGCTGCTGCGGCGTTCTCAGATTGTCCACTAGTCCGTTCTGAGCTATTTCAAACAATTGCAGCGGTTCTATCACTCATAAATTTAGTGAATATTAATGTTCAAAATTTGGGTTGCTTTTTATATGGGACACGATTGTAGTTCTTTCTTAATCATTCATTACCTTAGAGCATTTTATGGTTTTCATTTTGATAGCATTTCATAATTCTGATTGGTTCATTCCGGGCATTTTTACCCTCCCCTGTAACGTACATGTTCATAAGGTACACCAAGCATATCATTTATATTATTTTCAGAATCGGATCCTGACTCGGTTCCGAGACTATCACCGCGAAGCTAGCAGCGGTGGCGATGACTCGATCGTGTCCTGCCTCAAAGACAAACGTAACCCCAACCCCAACCCCAACCACAAAGAGAGGACGGTGCGATTCCTGACTCCAGAGCCCCAGCTAAGCGATGGAGGTTCTTCGAGGGAAATAGACGGAAAAAATAATAGGGTGAAAGTAAAGGGGTCCTCTATGGATGGGAGTAATTACATCTTGCTTGATCGCAAGGAGAACGGGGAAGCAATCATCCGCATTTCGAAGAGGAAACGCCCTGGAGAGAGAAATTGCACGCCTGGAGTTTCGGTCAAAAACCAGCTTCTCCAGATGCTCCTAAGTGTTCTCCAGAAAAACGAGGATCCAGCCGCAGAAAAAGGTAAGATGATATTTCTCAAATAATTTTTTTTTGTTAACTCTCAAGATGTCCGCAAAACGAGGATAAACGCACAAAAGTAGCATCCGTATCAAGTTCCATACGTCCATTCAAGTTGGCACGCTTTTGAAGAGCGAAAGATTTCTATATGAAAAAAGCACACGTAACTTTCTCGACCCCATGGTTCTGATATATATTTTTCCAAATGAACGTAGTAATCCAACTCTAAACTTGGTAAGAACATTTCCGGCTTTAGATCTAAAATTCCAGGAGCATCTTTGGAGTTCTTTTGCTTCAAGGGAAAATATATTTAATAATGTCAAGCGAGTTCGAAGAGGGATTTCCACAAAGAAAATTTCCGCCAAAATGTCAAGTTCCTTTTGTGAAAGGAAACTTCACAAAAGCCTCATTCATGGAATACGTGACCAACAGAGCTAGATTTATTATCGCAATTATTTTATCTTGGGAGCAGAACACGTGATTAGGAAAATATAGCAGAAAGGGAATGTGAAACGTCATAAACGGGAGTTAAATGGAGATTCCTTGTAATATATTAATAATATGAAATTATTAGGTCGCAAGAAGTCATTAGGTAATTTACTTTAGCTAATTGTTACCAGTGAAAAATTCACGTCCTCCCAAAGCTCCGGTACTTCGGTATTAAAATGACGCACACCCTTCGGATTTAGAGCTTGGAAGGAGAAATCAAGCATGCGTTTCGGCATCCAGACCTCGAGTACAGCAGCTTTCACCTCTGTACGGATGAGGATCGACTCGATCGGATTGACCCGACACGGGGTTCGTGTGACTCGGTTGGCAACCCGGTTTCCGGTCGTCTGCGGGTGAATGCTTCACGAGAGACCTTCGGGTTGGGCCCGTGGGTCTCTCTCAGCGTCCGAGTTTCTGGTCGGGTGCGGGCCATGATTCGAATAGGGCTGATCAGGTTCGGAATAGTTGGCCCGTGAAGGCCTCTGGCGGAGTGATAGACAGACAAACTTCGGATAATATTGTATAGATGGAGTGGATCACGTGTACCCAGAATAATTATTTTGCTTGAGACCCATGCATATTGCATGGGATTCTATATATCTTCATCGATCATCTGCTCCATTCACTGATTGACGAGTTTTCCTTTCTTTTGTGGGATAGTGCTTCGAAGCGATGCGAAGGAGTCCCTTGGCAGGCGTTCCAGTGGGCAGGTGAGTTCCGAACTTTCCGAAATACTGTATAAATATACCAGGTATTGCACATAGATAGCCCCCCACAGCCTAAACTGCAGGAGCTAGAAAAAATTTTAAAATTTATTTGGAATCCTTCTGCAACACCCGGTACATTCATAATGCCTCCACTTTTGAGGAATATTTATTACCATGGTCGTGCTTTCGGCGCTCCATTATCTATGATGGTGATTAATTAATAAATTAATTTTCGAAGTGGCAAAAACTTACTGAGATTTTTATCGAAGTCATTACTCGGATGATTTCTTGTGTTCCTAACGTCAAATATATAACGTGCCCCTTTTTGTCTGAGCGGAAAATATACGAGGGTCACTCAATAAGTTATCTACCTGAATAAGAAAGAAACATCCGAGGGGAAAACTAACACTTTATTTTTCAATGTAGTCACCTTTTAACTCAACACACTTATTCCACTTTGATTCCAAGGATTTTATTCCCTGGGAATAGAAGTCAACTTCTTGTCCATCAAACCAATCAGAAACGGCAACGTTCAGCTCTTCATTGCCTGAAAATCTTTTTCTCCGCAAAAATTTTTCAAATGTCTGAACAGAAAATAGTCACTAGGAGCCAGATCCGGGCTGTAGGGAGGATGGTTGAGCTCCTGAAAGCCACACACTGCTGCCTGAACTTTCCATGATTTGTGGACGGGGGCGTTGTCATGGAGAAGGACCCCCCTTGACAACTTTCCTCGGCGTTTTTCCTTGATGGCATCATGTAAATTTTTCATGGTGGTAGCATAGGAATCGCCAGTGATTGTACACTTGACTGGCATGAACTCAAGCAACAGTAGTCCCTCGCTGTCCCAAAACACAGTGGCCATAATCTTTCCTGCAGATTTCTGAGCACGAAATTTGCGAGGCGTTGGCGATCCCTCGTGCTTCCATTGCATGGACTCCTGCTTGGTTTCGGAATCCCAGTGATGAACCCAAATTTCATCACCAGTTACTATTCCAGGAAAAAAAGTTGTTTAGAAAACTCCAAGTTTTCCTTGCAGATGTCAGATATGTTCTTCTTCTGAGATGGAGTCAGCATTCTTGGGACCCATCGAGAACTGACTTTGGACATGTGTAATTTTTCATGAATAATGTGAATCACTGTGCCCTTTGAAATCCCCAGTTCATGAGCTAAAACAGAGACTTTGGTTCGAGATCCTCCAGTATCGCACTCTCCAATTTGTCACACATTTCCTGATCAGAAGCCTCCACAGGGATCCCCGACCTTGGGTCATCTTCGATCGACTCTCTTCCCCACTTAAACTGCTTGCTCCAAAATTTAACTTGGTAATAAGAAGGCGAAGACACACCATAAACGTTAGACATACGTTCATGAATCTCCTTAGGTGCTTTCCCTTCTTTGGTGAGGAATTTCATCACTGAACGATGTTCAACTTTCGTCAAATCCATGACACAGACTCGGGAAAAGAAATCTAATGCGCTATCACTTTGAACGGACTTGAGCCACTGAGCTGGTATAGTGGTGGGGCACTCACGAGACCTGTCGAGACATGTCACAGCAGGCACAGGCCTGTTGCTCATCCCTTTCATATTCAGGTAGATAACTTATTGAGTGGCCCTCGTATCTGGAAACCCTTCCAGGAAATATTTTAAAATTTGGATTTTTTATTCACTCAGCTATCCATCAGGTACTTATGCGCCAACTTTCTATCGTTCTCTGTTTCGTTGGATGAAAAAAGATTCAGGAAAATGCGCCTCCTGCAAAAAAAAAGGTGCCCTGGGGGGTTTTTACCTCAGAAGTACACTTTTTATTTTTACTGAAATCAGTACTCGGAGAACTACATGCCTACCACGTTTCAACATGATAAATTTCGCCTTTTCGCTGGGGAAGAAATATGTTTGGAAAAGCCGACCCACCCAAAAGCTATGCCCTGAGGGGATGCACCACAAAAGCTGAATTTTCCCTGAACTCAGCATTACGTCAGTTGTGCGTGTGCTAAGTTTCCCCTTTCTATTCATGCTCAATTCGCTAGGACAAAAAAAAATTATTTGAAAACGTATGAAAAATATGTCCCCAGGGGATGCACCTGAAACTTGACACTTTTCCTGAACTCATTGTCTCGGTAGGCACGTTCATATCAAGTTTCAGTTTTCCATGTCTCTCCATTCGACTGAATAAAAAATATTTGAAAACATCTCCCCAAAAATGTGTGCTCCCAGGGCATGTACCTCCAAAGTCGGATTTTTCCTGAACTTTGCATCAGAATAGCTACTTGTGTACCAGGTTTCAGGTTTCTAACTTCTCTAGAACATGGTTAGAATTAGCGTCAGTCACTCAGTTAGTCATTCACTAACGATCGTCTATATATATTAAAATCAATTTTTTAAAAATACGCAAAGCAAGGAGTCAAAGATTTTAAATAAAATTTCTGGGAAACCGACAGTGGAAAAGATCATGCTTTTTTCAAATATAAGTGTAAAAAAAAATGAAAGCTCAGCGATTTCTTCAGCAGAGTGCAGGACAAATTGCTCCTTTAGAGCTCAAGCATTTCCCGGAATTTCAATTCCACTTGAATTTGCAATCAAATTCCGAGTAGCACATAACATTGATTCAATGTTGAATCAACAACCGGGTGTTGAATCAACATTGAATCAATGTTGTTTCGATGTAATGTGCTGTTGGGGATCAGTGATCTGGAAAAATAGACAAAAGAGCACTGACAGGATTTAACGGGGGTGGGAGATTCCTGGATCTTTGAATGAAAGGACTTTCCCTCTCTTCATCTGCTCCGTCGAAGTTCTAAGAAGTTCCCCTCATCTCCTCCCTCCTCCCCCCGTGACGAAGGCCACATACACATTAGCATTTTCATAGGGACCAGACTCTCGGTTTTAACGGGCTTTCACCTCTCCAGCCTCACTCACTCACTCCTCACTCATTATCCATCAGCGATGGAAAATGACTGAAACAATCTGGTCGGACACACAAGCTGCCTCGATGACATTCTTGCGGCGGGTGGCCAGGCGAAAAGGATGTGGAGGACCTGCACGAGGACCTTCAAGTGGAACGACTTCCGATCGAGACATCTCGAGCGCAGGATTCCACTTGCTGAATCCGTGTCCAAGCTCAAAATCCGTTGCTCATTAGAGGATGCTCCTCCGCCAGCTCAATCAGATTTAAAAAAAAAAGAAGTTGAATGCTGCTCCCTCGAGTCTCTCCTTCCAGAGACTCGCTAAATGGCCTCAATAAATCTCAAAGACGACGCAGTTAGCAAGGTTCGACAGCCGCACACGACATACGTGCGCTCAAAGTTATCCAATGCCATAAGCGAATATAGGATCGCAACTACGGAAGCTGCCGTGCTACAGCGGCTACAAGCTAATGCGTACCGGTAGAGCGCGATTTTCGCTGCCTTTTTCATCTACGAATGACATTTTCTCTTTCAGAGTGCAGATTCCCCGGCCTCAAGCATGAAGGATTATCACACGGCCAGCAGCACGGAGTTCGAGCAGTGACCTTGGGGGTCCCCCGCCTGTGAACGCTGACACTTCTTCGCAGCCGAGAACGACGTGCCGATCTCTTTTTCGCGTCCCGACCTTTGCAAGAGTTTTTCTGAGTGTTGAACGACTTTGTTCGATGTTTAACGAGGTTACTCGAAGTCGGTATTTCGATGTTGCATCGGAGCATGCCTCGCAAGGGCAACATGTAATTTCGTTTGTAATTAAATTCCTTCAAACTACTCCAAAGATGACGTTATTCGAGACAACGGCGCCGTCGGAATACAAGAAGGGAACATAATTGAATGAGAAATTTACAGTATACTAGACCACACCCGCGTCCCGCGGGATCCGCTTCGCGGGTGACAAAATTTCAACAGACATAAGGAACTCGGGGTTAATATGTAATTAGCAGTAAGAGGAAATACGATCAGTGAAGGGGAAACGTTCGAATTTCAAAGTGCCACGCATTAGATCAATAATAGAGGGTAGCGTTAGGTCATCAGGGAACCCTAAACTGGATGTAAGCACATTCTCAGCGAGTTCCACATCGTAGCATACAGGTGAGACATGTTGAAATTTCGAAAACCCGGACATTGGATAAAGTATTGAATAGTGGATATTGAGCCATGTACGGGATGTGGATCGACTCCATCGAACCGACCCGACACGCGGATTGGGTGGGCATCTCGGTCGCTATGTATTGATAATACGCTATCAGAGGGTCTTCTCCAGCCGCTTACGGATCCTGGCGGACCGTAGTGACCTATGAGAGCACATAACAGGTCAGCACGAATGTGACGTCATGGGATAGCTGGAAGTGTCGGCAAAGACAGCAGAGCCGCTTAGGAAAAGGACAAAGGAGAGACTATGAGTTCTGAAGCTTAGAGGCCCTTAGCGGGCTGCTTGCCGATCCGATCTGCCCGACACGGGTGGGGTCGTGTAGGACCACGATTCGAATCTGACAGATCGAAAAGGATCGAAAAAGTCGACCAGTGAAGGTCTCCGGCGGAAAAACAGACGGAGGGCGTCGGCTATTATTTTATAGATGCTTTGCACGCGCGTGCAACAAAACTTCAACAAACATTAAGAATTCCGGATTGGGATGACTTCCGAAGTGGACTACCCGCAGAATGTTGCAAGAGATACATCACACGAAAATACTGTACCAATAGGTTACAGAGATATCTGTTTCAGCCGAGAGAGTTGAGGCATGAGCGTGTAATATTAATACGTCGATATAATATCCAGAATGCCCTCGTTCTACGAGGGCATTCT